TTTTTTTTTTTTTTTTTTTAAAGGGAGAATCAGCATGCAAGAGAAGTACGAGCTGCTCCCAGCACATGCTCCAGCTACTGTGCCAACATGAAACAAAAAACATCTCAGGCAAGACCCAGCTACAAGGCTGTCATTAAATTACACATTTGCAAACCAACTGTACAATGCTTTTCCCACAAATCTATGTCCTCAGCCGTCGGAGTCCTTGGTGCATTATATGTGATAACCATAAGAACAAAAAAGCAGGCAATTAAAATCAGTGGTGCTTTTAGCCCTTCACCTCCCCCTCAGCAAGGAGCACAAAGAATTTATAGGCCTGGATTATCAACATCCTACAACCTGGACATCTGATGTACCCAATCCAACTGTACATTACCACTGCATCAGGTGGTACACAGGGCACAGCCTGGGGTCAACACACAAAAATTCACTGATTGCTCTATAGAAGAATGGTGACTAGGGAGGCACTCACTAGGCAATTGGATGATGAGGCCCAAGGGGAAAGATACTGCAGTCTAGTCTCTGTAATAGCCCAAAGCAACTCATAACCCTGACCAAACCTCTTTCTGGATCTGATTCCTGGTGGTGCCCTCTATAAACTTCACATTTAAGTATTTGCACCATCTTCTCTTCGTTCAGGATTCTGAAACCCTCAATAAAATCTACCACAAATATGTGGACTTCTTCTTGGAGTAATCCCTCAAAAACTAAAACACCATAGCTAATTGGAGATGCTGCTCATTTCAGCTGTTGGCCTCCAAGTGGGCCTGAGATGCTGTCCACATACTCTGCCTGCCATACCGTCTCACATCTTGACTGGAGAAGATGAGACCACACCTGATCAGAAGCAGCTGCAGTCACACCACTGGATTTTAATCTACATGCTCTTCCTTCTAGGGATGTGAAGGACTAGTTGACAAGCTAGGTGACAAGTTGCTTCCCCCCCACCCTTGCTGCCTTTATCAGAAAGAGGCAGCAAGGGAGGGGGGCAGAAGAGGGTACTTCAGAGCAGCAACATGCTTGGAGCCTGGGGACAGATCCCAGGTTCCAAGTGGCACTGCCGCTTTGAAACATCGCATGCAGCCCAGAGCCAGCTGGGGTGTCCCCAGACTGCACACAACCTTTCAAAGCAGCAGTGCTGTGTGTAGCCTGGGATCAGCTGGGAACTCCCCCATTGGCCCTGGGCTCCATGAGGCGCTGCCACTTTGAAACACTGAGGAGAGCCCAGCGTCAGGCTCCTTGCGGATTTCAAAGCAGCGGCACTGCGTGAAGCCCAGATCACTGGGGATTCCCTCACTAACCCCAGGCTCCTTGCAGCCTCTTGCTTTGAAGCGCCGTGAAGTCTTATGCTGGGCTCCCTGAACCCTTTCAAAGTGGCAATGCTGCATGGAGCCCAGGATCAGCAAGGGAGTCCTCATCTGACTCCAACTCCCCACAGTGCTTTCTCCTTGTTGCTACACTTCAAAGGCAGAGGCACCCTATTGACTAGTCAATGCAAAATACATCAACTATTTAATTAGTCGCTATTTAACATCCTTACTTCATGCAGAGCTTCACGTTTCTTCACTGGTGTAGAGCTGGAAGATTCATTGCAAGACAAAACACCAGCTGCTCTGCTCAGGCTATCCTTTCATTATGTTTAGCTGGTTAACTGATTAAGTGGGAGTGAACCCACTGCCCATGGCAGGCCCCACCAGGAGAGAGTAGTCCCCCCACCGATAAACAGTAACCAGTAAGAAGTTTTTCCTTCCCCCTCATGCTACCTTTAGTCCAGGTGCCTATGTTCTATTCATGAGTAGATAATGTTCTCTCTCTCAGCAGGGATTTACAGTGATCAGCAGTTGTTGAAGAAAGGGCCCTTTCTGCTGTTATGTGGCATTGAAGATTAGATGGCCATATCCATTCTGATCAAAATTCCTTAAAATTAAAAGATCCCATTTTAAGTATCTGAAGAGTAGACGAGAAGTATAAAGCTTTATTACGTGATCCTTATTTGCATTTATTGTACATGAACTTCAGTCACAGTCTCAGCTTTTCAGACACATATGTACAATGGGTATATGCAGTTACATCAAAACCTGAGTGTTCTAAGAAATAAAGATGTTCACATGTCCCCCAAATATTCAATATAAAATCAGCTGCATTTTCTTGGGAAAAAAATACAACAAGGGAGAAAAGATTAATGCTAGATAGCAGCAAGTCTTCAATTTTCTTGTCTCTGAAATACAAGTAATCGTACGTCACTCATTACTGAGAGTGATTACAGTACAATAAGCTGTACACCAAGTTGTGGCCCAGAACCAAACACAGGATGGGGTAGTTTTCCTTCAGTGTTCTGAAAGGCTCCCAGCATTACTCAGATGCTTCCTACTTTGCTAAGAGGCTAGCCTGTCCCCCTATCTAATATTGAGGAGGATATACAGTTGATCGGTAAGATTTGGAAAATAAGATGGCAGTCTCTGGCTTTTAACAAAGTTTCAGGGAGTCATATGGGTATACTGTAAGCAGGCAGGTGTACAGGCTTAATGACTAGCTTCTCTGGAGAACTCTCTCCAAGTATATAGAGATGGAAGTTTACAGACACTGAGTAATGGATTAGAATTTTCAATTCCCATGCAAGATATGACCCCACTGGCTTCAGAGTCAGAATGACAGCACTGACTTCCTTTCTCTAAACCATGTGAGTGGCTATAGTTGCATCTGCAGTACTAGCACTTCCTACAAAATGCTATATATAATACTGCCCGAGATTATAAATTCTCGTGTATTGACCTAAGTTTAGAGAGCAGTTTACAAAAAAAAGCTCTCTCCAAATATTTAAATATTTGGATGTTTTTGGTATGCAAAATAGATTCACTATTTGTACTTTTTTTTTTTTTTAATAATCTCAGCAAAAAGATAAAACCCCACTTAGGACTGCTACAAAAATTTGATTTAACTATTTTACACTGAAATTCTGTGAAGCAGGCATCAATCTGATCATCTTTCTGCAAGCCTGGCCTTTACATTCTATGTTTAGTGAAATGAGATCCTGTTTTTCCTGCATACAAAAGAGACTCATGTGTTTCAGGCCAGATACCCGATTCTTCATCGTTGCTTCATTTCCCTATTTGTTTAGAAGAAGAATGTTTAGGCAACTTTGAAACAAAATACCCTTTAAACTCATCATGGCAGACAAGGAGACCTTGTTACAATATTTGGTTTCATAGTAACCATAAGAAACTCCAAATCAAGAGAGTCCATATCTTGCTACGTTTCATTCTGGAAAACAAACGTTTGAGTTCTAGAAGCACAGAAGACTTAGTAGTTTGGAGTTTGTTACAGAAGTGCAAAAAATCTCAACTGAACAAAATTAAAACAGGGAGCTCAGGTCCAACTCTGAACAAAGTGTCTGTTCAAAATAGACAGTATCACCAGCTGCAAATTTTACACTTCTAATAGACTTCATACATTCAACTTAACTGGTCTACACTACCTCCATTAGAGGCAATCAAGTGGATTTCTGTCCTCTGAATCAAGTTGTTACTTTGGATTCCACCTGAAATGCAGCAGCAGCTTCCTGGATATTCCTAATCTCCCATTTGCTGAGATGTTAGCGCTAGTAGTCTCTTGCTGAGCAGTGCATTGTGTCGTTGGAGATAATCTATCACATCTCCTTGCTTTTCAACTATTTCTTCCAAACTTGAGCTTTCCCTTGGAGGCATAAGAGAAGGAGAAAAGTCATTAAAAATTCAGATTAAAAATAAACTTTCTATCAATACACATAAAGGTCATTAGATACTGCCACAAACACCCTTTTCACAACTTTCATTTAGCTCCTCTTAGCTACTTTTCTACAGGGAAACAATAGTTTGGGCCATAATGGGAATATATGCTTTTAACACCACTATGAGTTACTTGGAGATTGGAAAGGCCCCATACAGATTGAGGCCAAAACCTCCTCTTGTGCAAGAGCCGTTCTGTCACAAAAAGGAACAGTGTAGATGGCTCCTTTTTGTGCAAAAGCCCCTTGCGAAAAATGGCGGCTCGTTAAGTATGCAAATGAGGTGTAGTGATATTCACTGCTTCACCTCATTTGCATATTTTCTTGCACAAGAGCACGCAGTACAGATGTAGCCAGATTTTTTAGTTGTTGGCTAAAATAGTCAGCCATTTTTCCTTGTACTAAAGCATGCTCTCATGGCCTCTTCCAATAACCTGCATTAAGATGTTACCATAAAGAGTTAACAGAGAAAGTTTCTAATTTAATGGCCATTGCCCGAGACTATTAGCATCACTTAGATCCCAGGAAAAGGTATTCCAATTTAAATAAAGAGCACTTGTTTAGATGATGCAGCCACATATAGTTCACAGAAGACTTCAAGAAGCACTGTCCTCCATACTAAGTGATTATTTTGATCAGTTTTTCTTTGTATTTCAGCACCAACACCTTATACTAAGAATTAAATCCAAATAAACTATATTTAAACAAAGTTACCAAGTCAAGCAATCTAGATTTATGAAGTGCTAGGTGTAAGGTTTCTTGCTTCAACTTGAATTTCAACTTGCACATGTGCATTATGATTCCTCTCCCCTTGTCCAAACAAAACCTCTTAGCATTTTACTGTAGGCTTTGAAGTCCCTCCAGACCATGCAGATGAGACACCTTATCAGACATACAATTAACAAACCAAAACCACAGTAACTCCCTGCTGTGGCTGCTGTGGGTTGGGGGGGACCCAGACCCGGCCACTCCTCTGGGTCCCAGCCCAGGGACCCTATAAATAGCAGTTACCTGCGGAGTCTCAAAGAAGTTGGTTGCTGGTATGTTCCCTTGGCCACTTCCCACAGGAAGCTGCTCTGTTTAGCCCTTTCTCTTGGGCCTTGTGGTCAAGTCTTCCCTGTCCAGGGTTCTGCAAAGGGTTTGCCTTTGGCTTACCAGCTAGTCTGCCAGGGTTGAGCTCCAGGAAGGAACTGGCAGGCCCTGGCCCAGCAGCTTCTTTTATATCAGCCTGCTGCACCCTGATGCTTGGAAGACTGCTCTTCTGCTCCTGTGGCTGGGCAGGGTAAGGAAAGGCCTACAGCAGGGATACTGGGGCCTAGTCCACCCCTTCACACTCCTACAACTGAGAGCCATAGATAAGACGACTATGCCATATTCTCTCAGATGGCTGAACCATGTTTGCTAAAAATGTTCCTGAAGTTCAAAGGCAGATGAACTGGAATGGATTTCAGTCCATGCTGGCTACGTTTCATTCTGGTTGGCCTAGAGAGCACTTTTGGAAATTCCAAGTATTTTTAAATTTAGAACATAAGGCACTTGACACATAAATCCTAGAATTTGTGCTCTAACAAAAGTAAGCCTTTTATCAAGCTTGAAACAGGTGACTGAACATGCATAGTTTTTTCACACCAACACACACTTTTGCGGACTTCAGAGTACAATGTGTGTCCTAGGGTGCAGTTCTACTTTGAAGAATAACTTGACACATTTTTTCTATTTTAGCAGCTGTACTTGTTTGTATTCTTGTTCACCCTACAGAGCCAGCATAGCCCTGAGAAAAGAACAACATTCTCTTCTTCTACATCAATAAAGCCATGTAATAGTTACAGTTCCAGGGCCTGTTAGTTATACCAACACATATCCGCTTAAGCTAACAGTGTTGCACAAGTGTTACTCAGGGCAAAACATAGTCTGCAGGATTTACACTACTGGGTAAGTATGAGAAGGAAGAGAATAACTCTTCACAGATCCCAACTCATAGTCAGCCCTGCAAAGTTCTTGAACTGGCATTTGATCTAAATAACAAGAAATCATGGAACTCTCTAATCCTCTATCCTCCTTTTATGGAGTTTTTCATAGTACACCTGCTCTTTAAACAGCCAGGAGTTAACATTACTCTTGCTCAGCACAGGTGGCCTTACTACAAAGTGATGCAGATATGTTTTCAGAAGGCTTGAAAAGCAATCAAAAAGGGTGTTGAATCAATCAGGGTTATGATTGCTTGTACAGACTGTACTACACACATTCTCCAATGCTTGATACCCTTAACAGGCACTGTTAGACACCAATACCACTGAAGACATGCCCTACAGCCTGGGTTTCTGTCCCTCTTTTTTTGGGAAGGGGAAAGGAGAGCAAGGAGAACAGAGGGGAGACACGAGACACACAGTTTCTCCAGAAAGTGCATCAAAGTTTGAAATTGTGCACACCAAGCTTCAGAAGACACTAGAAAAATTAGCTCTTTCTGCTGGTTTTTCAAGATCCTGCCTGCCGACTGTTTCCATGAGAGCATGACTTGCATTATAGGGTATTTAGTCACAAATTTGATCTACAAGTGCAATCTAGTTTAGATTGCAGGAGAAGGAGCTGCTGAAGTGTTTTACTGGAAGATTAAGGTACTGCTTGTGGAGCAACTGTACGGTGCTAAAACATGTACAGGTTGGATCTCTACAGCCCAGACTTCTATTGACTGACATCATCCCCATGGGTGCTCCGAGGCTATAGCACTCATAGTGAGGAGCCCTACCCCATGCTCAACAATTTCTTTCCCATCCTCCCCAAGAGGCACTCAAACTGAGGGAGGGAGAAAAGTGGGTGCGCGCGCTTGGGTGAAAGAGGTGGAGCCTTGCGATCAGGGGCCATAAGAACAGCCCCTCCACCTGCTGGGTTGCACTCTTGGCATGGCTCCACAGACCCCCTCAGTCTCCACTCGGTCCAGGTCAGCCCCTCTGTTCCTGCTGGAGTGGAGTCCTGCAGTGGGTGGCAGCGAAGAAGCCGGCATTGCTAGACCCAGGTAGATCAAATTTCCCGATTCAGGACCAGTTAGGTCCCAAGGGTGCCAGACTAGGGAGTTAAAACCTGTTGTAGTAAAAAACGTGCAAGGCAAGACTGATTTCCACCCCACACGGTTCCCCAGAAAACCATATAAAATATGTGAAGTATCTGTAGATTTCCTCTATGCTAGCTGTCATATACTCCTAACTCCAGCATAAGAGAGATCTCAGATCTCAAACTGAAAAAGTCTTACCTTCTGGGAAGGAGCACCTAATTTATTTCCCTCCCAGGTATCAACCCACCTCCTCTGAGGAAAGAGCTCCTTGATTTATACCAAGACACATTTTAATGACATGATCTAAGACATCAGTATTTCTCCAGACTGATTAAAACCAACTCTTAAGAGATTAAGGACAGTTAATTAGGGTTAGCACATTACTGGTGAAATTATAGGAGTACAGTAATTACTTGTTTAACACGTGCCCGCTTAACATATTTCCACGATAGCACGATTTTGGGGGGGGGGGGGCAACGTTTTTTGAACAACACGACCGTCCCCAAAATAACACAGTTTCCCCAGCCGGCCTGTCACCGGCGGCTGTGTGAGGCTTCCCCCGCCTCCCTGCAAAGCGGTGGAGAGTTCGCCACGCCATTCCCTGGCGACCCCCCTCTCACTGGACATCAGCTGGAACCCGCTCCCACCTGCAGGCCGGCAGCTGGGTTTCCCCAGTGGGCCTGTCTCCAGCAGCTGCTCGGGGCTTCCCCCGCCTTTCTGCAAAGCGGCCGAGGGTTCACCACTCACAACGCCGTTACCCGGCGACCCCCCCCCCCTTGCTGGACACAATGCGGGTCCTGGCAGACCTATCACAGGGACATACTGTACTCCCAACCGGATCCCCCTTCCCTCTCCTCCCCTTCTCTTCCCCAGAGCCAAACACCTCCCCACCCTGTTGTAACCCAGTCAGTCCCCTCTCTCCCCCAACCTTATGTCCCAGTCGCTAACAAGTGCAGGCTGGAGCTGTGAGAGCACATGCAGCTCTCAGCAGCCCAGTCAAGAGAGTGGCTGACCAGAGTACATCTGGGTTCTAGTTGATGCCCTATTGGGAGTTTTACTGTACTGTACAGTACATCGTCTAATGTTGATGTCGACGACTCAGCACCAACAGAAAATTGACTTCGACACCACTGCTTGAAACGCAACCCCCACCTTTTCCATTATTTTCAATGGGAAAATTGACCCCACATAACATGTTTTCACTCAACACGATCATTTTCTGAAACATATCTACCGTGTTGAATGAGGAATTACTGTTATCTACTATAATTGTCATAGGGCCACTCAATATCTACTAAAGCTATAGCATACCCTTTTCATGTTTCATCATTTCTGTACTCTATCAAGTTACTATGGCTGTGGTGGACCATCTTTGCAGCTTCTGATTTTTGTGCACATAACTTCCACAATGCTGCAGAAGTCCACTAAGGAATTACCACCACATTTCCATTTTTCCTGACCGCTTTAAGGTCCCACACACCACTCTGTACAGAAATTGATGCCAAGTGTTTACACAGTTACCCGCATAAACTAACTGAAGTGGTTACCTGAATCCAATCTCTGAGGTAATGTGACTGGGGTGAGCATATATCTTCTCTTCCTCAATTATATCTGGCCTTGGCTTTGCCTGGTTGAAATTGCTTATTTTCACTGAAACGAAAAGAGGTAGTTAATTATGCAGACTCTTTATTAATAGGGTTAATTGGCACTTAAACTGAGTTCTACAGAGGGTCCCAACCTGCCTCACAAGTAACAGCAGAGGGGATAAAAAGGGAGCCCAACAAGAGGATCAGGTTACACCTTAGAAATTGGCATTTCCTTTGGTGCTGCTGCTTAAATTTGTGTAAGGGCATGTCCGAGACCTGTGTAGATTGCATTACCTATGAAATGCCCAAGTAGCACTCTTGTACTTAAGGCTGTTCCCTGACCTCTACCCCAAGAGTAGAGAGAAAGGAATGTTACATTTCCTGCAGTGATAAAAGGCTCATTAAAAGAAGACTTTTGAAATAAAAGATGCACTTGCTTGCTCTTATCTGTCTATACTGTTTTGTTCTCAGTTTGTGTATAAAACTGCCAAGTTTACAAAATAATTCTTGAGACTAGAAGCCATGTTGTCTGTATATTAGTGGGTTTTTCCCTTTTCTACTTGTAGCATTCCAGTCTCTTGTACAAAAATATCTTGTGAGGGAGTGCTATATAGTTATTATCTTAAGAACTCTGTTAATTTCAATTCATCTCCATTGAAGTCCTGACATCCGTGTGTAGTTTCACTCTGCATTGTTAATGCATATTAATAAATGACTTATTAGCTTCTCAGACTATTTAAACTCCTGAAGAATTAGGATTCTGAGCTCCATATGTTGCATTGATAGGACTCCACTTAAATGAGCCTCCATTGTCAGAATCCATGCTGTATGTGTCTCGGCTTGACAAAACTCTGGCTGGGATGATTTAGTTGGGATTGGTCCTGCTTTGGGCAGCGGGCTGAGAGCTATGACCTCCTGAGGTCTCTTCCAGCCCTATGATTCTATGATATGCTTTAAATTAAAAAGTAAGTTTGTCAATTCTTGAGACATTTTGCCCTAGACAGGTGGGCTGCTACAAGTATTAGAAGCTGCTATCACTTCTAAAAAACAGGGAAGGGTAGCATAGTAGGGATCAGTATGCCTCAGTCTGATCTTAGAGAACTAGTTACAAGGATAACAGGATAGCTCAATTTTCATGCCTAAAATCAACACAGTTTGCAGAGAAAACTGTCATTAATACTACCAACTGGAAACATGTCCACAGTCTATACAACCTGGCAGATATAAAAGTTAAAAATCACAAATTCAAATTTGGCCCAAATACAAAAATGTTCACTCCTGACAACTCAAAGTATTTTTTTTTCTAGACTAGGATTCTCTGGTCCAGCAACATCTGTGATCCAGCATGACCAGATATTCCAGAATCAGAGTCCTGGCACACAGCAGGGGGTTAGGAGGCCAGGAGCCAGCACACAGCTCAGTTGGGCTATGAGGAAGAAGTCAGGAGGCAGCATGTGGCTCAGTTGGGCTAAGTGGGAGAGGGGCAAACCCAGGAGCCAACAAGTGGCTCAGCAGGGCTGCAGGAGAGGGAGGAGCTCCAGGAGCCAATACATGGCTCAGCTGGGCTGGAACACAGCATAACTGGGCTGCATGGGGAGCCAGGAAGCTTGGTGAGGAGGGGGAAGGTGGGAGCGGAGATAGGGGGCCTGAGGGACTTATTGTGGTCCAGAAAAATCCCTCATCTGGGACCAGTCAGGTCCAACCTGTACATCAATACTGTTCTTCAGCAGTTTTTCAACTCAAATATTGCACCACTGTGCAAATAACATGAAGTAGTGTCATCTATTAAAATAGACTCAAGTACAGAGACAGAAAAACAACTTTGAACGTTCAAAGCTGATAATTTGAACAAAGCTAATAATTTTAAGCAGACCTTTATGTAAAGACTACCTATTGAAAGTGAACTGAACAATCCTCATTTTAGACTATGCAGGTTAGTATGTACTGACTCTGGTTGAGTTATTGATGTATCATACTGTATATCTGGTCAGAGAATTTATGTTAAAATAAAAAGAATATATGACAGTCTCCAAGACATACCTAAAAATCTATTTTATGTAATGGCCCATTCTCTTCTATTCTAGCCTCTCCAAGAAGAGAAGATGTTTCTCCTCTCTTCCCTCAGGAGTTCCTCAGACACTGGCTATGCAGAAGCCTGTTGCCTGACTGATCACAGGAATAACTCAGGCAGACGTGTAACCAAAGTTTAAGACTACTTTATGGTAAGAGGCACACAGAGGAAAGAAAAAAAATAAGCTTTTCAGATGGTCACCTTCATTATGTTTGTTGAGGGATGGAATATTAAATTTTGAGTAAGAATGTCATGCCTGTTGTATACACACTGGAACGTATGGCAGGGTTTGTTCAAGAGCCCTTACAAGGTCTAAAATTGAAGGTGCTCAGCACCCTTAATCCTCTTTCAAGTCTATCAATGGAGCTGGGGATGTGCTTATCTTTGCATGATTACTCTGAATAGAGGAAGACCACTAGGGAAACACACTGAACATCAAAGGCCACACTGACATCCTTCAGTAGCATTATTTGTGGAGTAATGTTCAGATAAGTGGGACTATCTGGAATAAGGCACTACCGAACATGTTGTAAGTACAGAGTTTATAGAATTGCATTTCTGTTGCTAGAGGCAGATCATAGGATGCCTCAAGCAGAGAAAATAATATCCAATAAATTTTCATGTTAGTTAAGTATAGATTTGAGGTCTTTTTAACCATGCTGTTTGCTACAATGCTAAATTCAAGAGGATCAGATATGAATTGCTTGCCACAATTGCCACATATATATATATATATATATATACACACACATATATACACACACACACACACACACACACACACACACGTTGATATAAGCATTTTATTGACAGGAAGTTGCCACTTATAAAGAAAGTCATTGCTACAATATCCAGTTTTGCTACACTGGAAGATATACTGACTGTAAATGGAAGATATAGCTGAATATTCTGCTATAGCTATGCCAGCACAACATCTTGTGAACACTATAAGAATGATTTTATTTTGGAGTAATTACACTTGAGTAATGTCCACGTGAGTGAATTATACCAGCAAAGCTATATAGGAAAACATACTGTGCTACAGCTATGTTGGTCAAAATCCCCATATAGACAAACCTTAGTATCAGAGCCTGAACTATAGCCAAGTGAAGTACCACTACATTTGGGGCTTCATTTTTTGAGGCAGTTTCAATACTATTATGAGCACAAGTTAAAAAAATTAAGTCAGATCTTGAAACAGCATATTCAAAGCTTTCATAATATTTAATAGTTTATCATTACACTGGAAATAGCTACTCTCTGCAACTTTCTATCAAGTCACTAACTAGGTTTTTCTCCAGACATCAAGTTTGCTCTAGAGTAGAGTTTTAATATTACTATCTAGAAGTCAGTTTGACTTTCATGATTGTCACATGACAATTAGTAGCATAATGTTACAACATGTGTTTCCTTTCTCCTTCCTCTCCACTACTTTGTTCCCCTTTAACTCAACCTGTTAACCTTTCCCTCTTGTCAACACCATTCTTTTAATTTTGTAATTGGTCTCCTTTGTCACTACTGAGAGGAATTCCAGAACATGAATTACACTACCACTATAGTTTGGTGTCAGATACACAACAAAATGAATGCTGACTGAAGTAGGAAACATAAGAGACACTCAGTTCCTCCAGAAGTGGACTGGTCTCAATCAGTCCTTTAGGAAGTAAGTATAGTTGATTAAAGTTAGATTTTTACATGAAACCAATCCATACCTCAGATTTAAAAGAGAGACACAAAAAGGATTCCCAGGAGTTTAAGGACGATGATGTTTACATGGCATTTAAAAGCAAGATAAAAAAATAGATACCACTTTGGAACATTTGTCTGTATTTCACTGTAGCAATAAAGGTCTCTAAGCTCATACTCTCATTTAGGACCTAAGACATCTAATTTCTGGTTTTATAAACTGAACAGTTGAACTGTGTCGTGTGTAACACTTTATTTTCCTTACTAGTCTGAGTAATCAGGAGAAGTGTGTTTCATATTGTCTAAGTCTCACGTATGATCTATAAGCATGGCACACAGGCCATCTGGTCATCTAGGTTTGAGTTATGGAAGTTCAAAAATTTGACTGGATTATTTTAATATATGTAGTTTTTAAATTACTTGGACCAGTAAGTCCACTGTGAGGATTTAATAGAATAAGCCAAAATAGAACAAACAAACATGGTCCTGGAGGAATAGGACAAACCTATTAAGCCTGTAATCCAATATAGTTTTCTATGTTAAATTATTTTCTACCAACTGTTGGTGGTACAGTTATGGGTAATGGACTAGAAATGTGTATTGCTTTATTTAAGTAAGGACTCCAAGAGTCTCAATGTCACTTAAGGACTACTAACCATCAAATACTAGATGAAGTGAGATTTGGGGAAGGGAGAAAGAAGGGGAACTGGAAGGCAATTGCAAGTTCAAAGACTGAGATATTCCATCTCAATTTAAGTTCCACATGTCCAAGGAAAGTAGTTTTGACTAAGCAAGAAGAATATTAGCTCTGAGTCAGAGTAAAAAACAAAACAAAAAAATCCACTCTGAACATGTGTCTGATAAAACTGCCATGAGAGCATGCTAGTAATGTGTGGTAAACATACACTATTATGTACAGTTCGTCTATATTAGTAATTTCCAAGGAAATACCTTAAAATGGACAAGTAGCCTAGTTTATCTGGCAGCATTTAGAGTTCAAGGCATGACAACGATTTCCAGTTTGCTGTAAGCAAGAATGTCTGAATGGCCTGCAATGGGTCAAGATATGAGAAACTAATTTTATGGTCATAGCTCTGCTCTGGCTGCCAGCTGCTGGCCAGGTTCCCTACCCCCAGACCACTGACCCTCCAGACTGCCCTGCCAGCTGAGCTCCCAGTCACTGGCAACCTCTGTGGCTAGGGCTCTCTGATCCAGCAACATCCGTGATCTGGAAGGACCACATATTTTGCAGGATCAGTCCCGGACCACAGAGGTTCAACCGGTACCATGCTTAGAGAGCAGAGCCAATAGAAAGTTTAGTAGCTTTTGTAAGGCAGTCACAGGACAAGGCAGTAACTGCAGTTCTCACCTGTGTAAATGACTATGCATAACAGAGAACAAACCAGCTCCAGACACAATACTCCCAGGATCAGGTAGAGACATACTTTCCTGTTGTCAGGAAAGGAATAGCAAGCTGCCAGTATCAGAAGCAGGGCGGCATTTCCTTAAGAAAAAAAACACAACAGAAATGACATTTATATGTTTTAGTCTAGCCAATACCGTCAAGTGGTTCAAAAAGACCCTCCTACAACATCTATATTAGGCATGTCAACATGTGTCTGACTACACGATTAACCGATAAGCCTATCGGTTCATCCTGTCAACTACATCCACTTCTCTGCCACTTGCTATCTCTATAGAAGAAACAGCAGTGTGGGGGAGGGGACAGGCGGGAGCCAATATGCATGGGGAGACAGCTTAAGCCCAAGTGCCTATGTCTCCCCTCTCCCCCCGCCTCCTTGCTGCCTCCCACAAAGGCAATGGGGGGGAGGGGGCGCGGGGAAGGGAAGGAAGGCAGAAACTGCTGTTTGGAGACAGCCAGTTTAAAAAAGCCAGCTCCCCAGGAGCACCAGCTCCTACCTGCCCCACCCTGTGCTGCCACCTCTATTAGAGGCAGCAGCGCGGGTGGGGGAGAAAGGAGCTACTGCCACAGAGCAGGCTCTATCCGCAGCGGGCCCAGGCTCATCATGGGATGCCAGTGCAGCCTCTGTCCCTGGGAAGCTTGGGTCCCCTGCATACAGGGGCTGCTGCTGTCCTGTGTTGCTGCCTCTGTACCAGAGTCATCAGTGCTGAGTGGCAGGAGGCTCCTAGGGAGTGCACTGGCTGCTGGCCCTGCTCAAGGGGACTCTCAAATAATTGTGTAACTGCTAACATTTGATGCAGTAAATAATCTTTTCAATTACATACTAACATCCCTAATCTATATTCCTCATTTTTTAGGTTAATGGATTATAGCTATGCAATAGAAAAAAACCATGACTGATGTGTTATTTAAACGCCCCAAGGGTAAAACAGAAATGTGTTTGTAACTGTAGTTTTTTGTGAAGCTTAAAGTTTTAGTTCCTACAGAACAGTTAGTGTTTCTTCAAGCGACCTTCATTCTATATTTAGCTGTCACTAATTTGTGCCTTACATTCATGACTTCAAGATGCCATCAGTCATGTTTAGTATCAATGTTAGATGTATTGTCTAGTATTTGACCGTTCAGTACAGCAATCTTGTTCTACATATTCAGTATAGAACCCTTCTGGTGGTTCTGTGTACCACTACAAAACATGCCACTTCAGTTTAGCTTTACAGGGAGAGGAATTGCAAGTACTTGAAAGACTGTAGTTGTTAGGCAGACAAGTGTGTTCATTTTTATATATGTAGAGCATATGTTTTACATGCATAGACTCATAGAATACTAGGACTGGAAGGTACCTCATGAGGTCATTGATTCCAGCCCCCTGCCCTCATGGCAGGACCAAATACTGTCTAGGCCATCCCTGATAGGCATTTATCTAACCTACTCTTAAATATCTCCAGAGATGGGGACTCCACAACCTCCCTGGGCAATTTATTCCAGTGTTTGACTAGCCTGACGGTTAGGAACTTTTTCCTCATGTCCAACCTAAACCTCCCTTGCTGCAGTTTAAGCCCATTGCTTCTTTCCTCATGTCCAACCTAAACCTCCCTTGCTGCAGTTTAAGCCCATTGCTTCTTGTTCTCTCTCCTTCCTCATGACACCCTTTTAGATACCTGAAAACTGCTATCATGTCCCCCCCTCCTCAATCTTCTCTTTTCTCAACTAAACAAACCCAATTCTTTCAGCCTTCCTTCATGGGTCATGTTCTCTAGACCTTTAATTATTCTTGTTGCTCTTCTCTGGACCCTCTCCAATTTCTCCACACTGTTCTTGTAATGCGGTGCCCAGAACTGGACACAATACTCCAACTGAGGCCTAACCAGCGCAGAGTAGAGCGGAAGAATGACTTCTCGGGTCTTGCTCACAACACACCTGTTAATGCATCCCAGAATCATGTTTGCTTTCTTTGCAACGGCATCACACTGCTGACTCATTCAGCTTGTGGTCCACTATAACCCCTAGATCCCTTTCGTCCGTACTCCTTCCTAGACAGTCGTTTCCCATTCTGTATGTGTGAAACTGATTGTTCCTTCCTAAGTGGAGCACTTTGCATTTGTCTTTATTAAACTTCATCCTGTTCACCTCAGACCATTTCTCCAATTTGTCCAGGTCATTTTGGATTATGACCCTATGCTTTGGAGCAGTAGCAACCCCTCCCAGCTTGGTATCATCTGCAAACTTAATAAGCGTACTTTCTACGCCAATATCTAAATCGTTGATGAAGATATCGAAGAGAGACAGTCCCAAAACAGACCCCTGCGGAAACCCACTTGTTATACCTTTCCAGCAGGATTGTGAACCATTAAATAACTACTGAGTATGGTTATCCAGCCAGTTACGCACCCACATTATAGTAGCCCCATCGAAGTTGTATTTGCCTAGTTTATGGATAAGAATATCACGCGAGACCATATCAAACGCCTTACTAAAGTCTAGGTATACCACATCCACCACTTCTCCCTTATCCACAAGACTCGTTGTCCTATCAAAGAAAGCTATCAGATTGGTTTGACGTGATTTGTTCTTTACAAATCCATGCTGGCTGTTCCCTATCAGCTTGCTACCTTCCAATTGTTTACAGATGATTTCCCTTAATTACCTGCTCCATTATCTTCCTTGGCACAGAAGTTAAATGAACTGGTCTGTAGTTTCCTGGGTTGTTCTTATTTCCCTTTTTATAAATGGGCACTGTATTTGCCCTTTTCCAGTCTTCTGGAATCTCTCCTGTCTCCCATGATTTTCCAAAGATGATAGCTAGAGGCTCAGATACCTCCTATCAGCTCCTTGAGTATTCTAGGATGCATTTCACCAGGCCCTGGTGACTTGCAGGCATCTAACTTTCCTAGGTGATTTTTACCTTGTTCTTTTTTTATTTTATCTTCTAAACGTACCCCCTACATAATTACAGCTGATGAGCGAGTACAACTATACATACCAGAGCCCACCGAGAAAGACTTTTACTGAAATGTTGCTTCAAGTTTCTCCCCAATTCTAGCTCACCAGGGCAATAGCGTTACATAAGAAGAATTTGAATGGAGTAGAACAGCTCCAAGATGAGAAACAAGATACCCACCCCTGAATAACCAGTAACCTAGCGCTTAGGCTACTCACCTAGCACATGGGATACCAAGATCCAATCCCTGTTCCAAATCAGGCAGGGGAGACATGAATTCCCACTCCTCCTACCAGTTTTACCATCGCCCCTGCTCACCTCCCACACTTCTTGTCATATTTACAATTCCAGTGAATGCAAGACATCTGACAGATGTAACATAGGTATAGAATTCATTTACTGATTTAAAGCAGATCATTGTCAGGCTACTATGCTGGAACTGTCAGGGCCAAATTGCTATTTTATGAAATGTGGTACTACAATTTATTTCCACCTTCAGGCCTCAATAGCCGTTGAGGAAAGTTAACCCCCACCCTCATGCCCAGTCAAGTTTCATTTGTGTGTGTATACACTTAGGACTTATTAGAAACCTTAAGCTTGCAGAAGGAACATTGTTAATAGCTATCACTTTGGCGTGAATGAAGAAAACCTTTCCCACTAATATAGGTGTTAGAGAAGCAACAGCCGGCTCAGGAGCAGATGGGGGTAAACAGCCCACGTACATTTACCTTGGACATTCCACACAATGTGTGAATCACCAAAACTGCCAAGTAAAGGCAGTTTTAAAAAAATATTTAAGAAAGGGACCAGGAGGTGTGGAGGCTAGTTTAATAGACCACTCTCCTTGCTAAATTGGTAGAGTAAGTGAGAGGAAAAAATGGCAGGGGCCAGCCAGTTCAGCACAGTGACTTGAGGCAAAGGAGGATGCAAGCGCAGACTTCCTGACAAGGGCTGGAGAATGGCATTGCCACTGATACTGGCGAATGATCTGAGGGCAGGTGAATCATGGGCCTGAAGGGACATACCTTTTTGATTCTGGATCAAGCTTGAATTTAGCAACTGGCCCAGCCCTGAAGAGTGGGTGCAGAATACAATTTGAAGGGACTACGGGAGGCCAGAGATGGGGAAAACAAGCAACTTGGATTATTTATACCCTCAAAAGGGAGAAGCTGTGTGTCAGGTTTGTGAGAGAAAACAAACCATTGCCTCCATTACTCTGCTCTGTCCACCCCATTTCTTCTCTAACAATAGGAAGCATTGGTGCTACAGTAACATACTAGCAGTGTAGGAGCTTGTGATGCTGTAGTATACATATGGCCTAAATAATTAAAAGTTGGAGTATCTGGAGAAAAGCCAAGGGGATGAGACCTTTTAAACTCCTTCCATTTTGCAGTTATGGAATACATCGCTTGGCAACTCTCTCCACACATGCACATGATCACTCTTTACATGCAAATGAGTAGAGTCCTGCAAGTGTGCCTTGGCAGATATTTGCAACTCATTTTTACAGATACAAATGTGGATGTATCTGTGCAGAACTCTAGAAATGAGGAAGTCTGTTTCATAATGATCAGAGGGTCTACTCTGTATTCTTCCCCACCCCAGCCTTTTTTGTAAAACGGGCCTTATGTGACTGCTTTTCTCCTACATGATTATCCTTTGCTCTTAAGTTCTCAAATTTGACTGCAAAGTCAAGATCAGAAGCCTACACACAGTGTAAGCAGTGCAGATTCTTATTACTATATGAAGCATATAGTGCCTTCAGAATGCAGGTCAGCCAATAGCAGTCCTATTGCTTCATGGTTATATTCAAGACATCTTAACAGCAAACACTTCACCAGAAACAGAGGAAAATGACTAGTGGACAAATGCAAGATATCCAGTCAGTGCTATTATTTCCAAATTTATTTCAACTCAAAGAGTTCTAGCCTCCTGCTCCACTGACAAACAAGTTTGGAGGTTTGTACTCAACTATTAAGCATAGCACTCAAACTGGTGTGGCACACCTTAGATGAAGAATTCAAAAAGCACAGATAGAATAGTTCAGTTCACAATGTTTGTTCATACAAAATCCACGAAGAACAAAATTCAAAAAAGTTCATCTCACCTGTAGAATGTATTAAGAGTGGCAGCCTTTTAAGATTTCTTGTTGATCGGTAGATCTTGAGGTATCCTCTGCTTCTGACTTTACTGTGATGATGCTGAACATATCGTTCAAAGAGAACATGCAAAAGCCACAGAATTACCTTTGCAATGATTATGACACTTTGCACCTTAAGTGGGTTGGTGTAGTTTCCAGGGCACACATCTTCAACTGGGTGTGCAGAAGAACAATATATACCTGCTAAAAATGATAAGACAACAAAAGCAACCTGTGAAAGAAAGTAGACAGACCTTAATATTAGTAGTTACAGTGTAAGCAATATTACCTTAATCTTTTTACTTACTATGCCTCATTTTTTGGATTGGTTCAAATGAAAGAAAAAAATCTAATGCAATTTTCTAGAAGATACTTCATCTTTGTACAAAAAAAATATATCATGCTACTTCTTCCTGGAAAGAACACAGAAATTTGTTCTGCCTTTTCTGCATCATTACTAAATTTTACCTCCTCTATCTAATCATGGACCAGTATCACTGCTAGGATTTTCTGTCCCTAGCATACAGTAAGGATAAGAAGGGTACTTATTGTCCTTAGCCTTACCAGTGATGGATTTTCCCCCCACGTCTTTAGCTTCCCTTATTGTACACATTTAATGATTTCTAATTTATCGTCAGCCATATATATTTTTTTATATCTATTATATATGATGAAGAGTTAGTTTGTAGAAAATAAAGTAATACTTCGCGATTACCTACAGATACCCAATTTTGCATCATCAATCCTGCCATTTAAATTAACCAAACGCACTACTTTTTACACTGGAATATGCTTGGTGAAAGGTTTAAATAATTATTTTTGTTTTTCCATTTAAAAAAAATGGTGAGAAAAATTCAGATGGATGTGTGCTTGAGAACACCAGCTAAAGCCTATCAAAGAGAAGCACTATTTCAATGCTTGTAGTTACCAACATGACAAGTTTAGGGCACGACTACATACCAAAATAACACCAACTAAATTGACATTATGCACTCTTGAATTGGTTTAAAGGGTCTTTACACTAGGGGGTTGCTCAAACGTAGCAAAGTCCATTTTAAGAAACAGGTTTTGATGATGTAGTTTGTATGCCTTTGGAACATCACCACCACCACCACCACCCCCATTAACATTTCAGAGTGGGAAGGGTATTGAAGATGTAACATTAATGCATTGTCAACATCAGATCTACCCAAACTCTATTAAACATACTGATACAGTTATATGAGTGCAAGTTGCTTACATATGAGATCTGAAGACTTTTTCTAACCTGAGAAGAGCTAAGACACTTATTTACTAGGTTTTAGAACTAGCTGAGCATTGACAAAGCTAAGTTCACAGGAAATAACTATAAATAATAAACCAAAAATTTAGACTGGATTAGTCTTTAATATCAAGTATTGCTAAATTTAAAAAACTCACAAAAAACCAAACAACTCTGCACAAAAGAGTAAGTGCAGCAATGCTTTCTTGGTCCTGAAGCCATATCCCAATTTAACTGGGATTCTATAACTCACATTATCCGATACACTCAAGTCAAGCGACTTCTTATCTGACTAGATTACCTGCCATATCCATGCGACTTGGAAGTTGGCAGTGTTGGGACAGAAAACTTAAACACAAGGTATGAGGAGTATGCAACAAAAGACACTGCTCTCCTTACTCACAATCCATGCTTTAGGTCCAGTGCATTACAGCTGGGGAACCAGAATTTCCCATTATCTCCTCATACTCAAGTTAATTAAAATCTGAGGGTACTTTAAAATAAATAAAAAAACCACTTACATGTAGAAGCAACAGAAAATTGGCAACTAAGACTGTCGGAATAGCATGGAATCTCGGACTCAGTTGTGAATGCAATTCATGAGGTGGAAGAAGTGGTGCATCAAGTAGAGGATCATCTTCTGTGCTCTGGGTTACCTCCAGGGAACCCTGAAATTTAAACATGGATTTAAGATTACTTTTCCCCACACTTTTTTTACATTTCTCCTTCAATGACTGTTTACAAGGCACACGATCTTTCTGTACCAAACTACAGGCAGTCCCCGACTTACGCGGATCCGACTTATGTGTACTCCAGGGCGAGAAAAGCTGCTCCGCATCTCCCTGGTCTGCAGACCAGGAAGACGCGGAGCAAAGCCGCGGAGGGGCTGGGGCTGCGGGGCAGCCCAGGCGCACCTGGGCTGTCCCACCACCCCCTCCCCCGGAGCCC